TCGAACTACCAGAGAAAGACAAACAAAAACCATAGAGAAAAACTGATACTGACAGGTTCCCTTGCAGAATGAAACAGCATTTCAAATAAGGATGGTGACTATTGGAACACACTTGCTAGTGATGTTGGTATGGGATGCATATGTTTTAGAAAGTCTTCAGAGCATGGACTTCTCAGAGACAGGCCTCAGCTGCACACCATACACACACTTCAACTTAGGGGAAGCCAGGGAATAATACCATAGCTATTTATAGCCTAATATACAAGGTTCAACAAGTAAGTCCCTTTTGAACGTGCAAATTAATATCTGTTAATCAACTTCAGTGTTGATACTTTAGCAATTCCTTTATTGCTCATTTCATGAGAAAGATTCAATTAAAATGCTTTTTACAAACCTAAGACTTATTTTATGCTACCTGAAAAGCTAAACAAACCATGTTCTCTGTATATCTATGTATCAAGGTTTCATACACTGGTACAAATGTCTGGGTGATCAGGACAGAAATCTGTTATGTGTTTAAAAGAAAAATTAGGAAAGTAAAATTAGCTAAGTAAAATCAAATTGATTTAATACAGAATATACCATCCACATTAATACCTGTACTGGCTACATTAGTCACTCTCGTATCTAATTCAATACCTACTGATTCTCTTGAATGTGTATGTTGCTTCCTCTGGATATGCCTCAGAGATAGGATGAAGTAGTTAAGTGCAAGGAACTGGATCATTAACTCTCTACTTAGCCTTGTCAAAATAAAACCCTAAATCACACAACTTTACACCAGGTAGACTCTGACTTCTCCATTACCTAACACAGTCAATTTCACTTCTTTTAGCACCAGTTTTCTCCTGTAAGCATGTGTTTGAACTTGCTTTCCCAGGAAAATTGGTTGCACTTTTCAGTAACAAAATACCATAGTAAAAATTCTCTATTGAATAGTGCAAACAAAGTCTATTGATTTCTATAACAATTATATGCATTTCAGATTCCTCAGGCAAAAGAACATGGTCCCTGCTCTGGCAACTTTTCAATACAAAAGTTGAAGAACTTGTTGAATAGGTAATAAACTATTAACCACAGAGAAATAATGAGTTCAATTCTGATGCCTAGTGTTATTGGACATATCCTAAGATATCAAAGATATCCTCATGATGGTGGCAGCTATTTAGGCATCCCAATGCCTTGTGGAGCCAAGCTGGGATCAAGCCAAGTTAGCCTTGGTCATCAGAAATCAAAATGCCTAACTTTAGGCAACTGAAGACTGAAATTATGACCTATTTATACTGAGAAGCCATGGTAAAGTCAGGAGTTGAATTCATATTTTTGAATTTTCAGACCAGTCAGTGCCAAAAGCTGTCTTCAGCTGGGAGGTAGGTTGATGCTATTTTTCTCTCCTAATTTGCATTTTAGGTATACTAGACAGTTACAGAAATGTCTTATACACTTCTGTTTCTGTGAAGCAACATTAGTGCAAGAAATGAGGACATTGTCTGACAGCAATTGCATCATAATATTAATACTTAGCTTTGCTTAATGAAGCATATAATGACTCATAACTCATTTTTATGGTTATGGTCTTACTGATCCTCATAAGAACATGCTATCAGAAAATATGTTTCTGCTTCACTGAACAGAAGATGAAAATAAATGTCATTCCTGGACTCTGCAGTATGGACCTAGAACTTTCACAAAAAAATAATTCACAGTTTCTGTTATATATCTTTATCATTTAATAATGCATAGTGATATTAAAAAAACCCAATCAAACAACAAAACAACAAACAAGAAAGAAAGAAAGGCAGTACTTCCTCTGAATCTGATTACTTAGG